AGAAATTTTTAGTTGTTTTAAAAAAAAAACAATTAAAATGTGGCAAATATTTTTGTTTGTTTTCTACCAAGCAAAATATCGCAAACCTCGCCGGATGCGTGCATTTTAGCTCAGCTTCAAAACGTACATCGTTCGCTGCAGGTGAGCGCTTCACATGCCGCCTCCAATGTCCTGATGTGACCACGCTTCGCTGTAGGTGGAATGAACTCGAAAGCAGCTTTTCCGGCTGACCACTGTAGTCAAACTGAAACAAATGACTACGCGCACTACGGCACGACGTGCTTTCCACTACACCCTGCCTTACTGTCAAGAACGAGCTGTTCGAAAAATCTGGAAGAAACTTTTAGGGACGAACTTCAGTATAGAAATCCATCCCGTAGTTCTGCGAGTTCCGTTCGTTCCTCTTGAAATTCATCTTCGCGGTCAGTGGTCGCCGCAATGCTTCATCCGAAAAGGTGCCTTCCCAACGGTAGCCATCAGGAGTTTTGTCGTATGTCATTTCCGCCACTGTTGCACGTCGATTTCCGCCAACATTCGGTCTTAAAAAAAATAACCCCAGTGCTACTATAGCATCTCTTTCAGTAAAAAAGTAACAGCTCAGCCTCAGCCCTCCGACTGATACAGAGCAGATGTTCAGCCGTGTAACTAACCACAAACAAGTCATAACCTTTCTGCTGTGTTTTTAGCAGCAAGAGCATGTATTTTTCCCTAGGTGGCAGTATGCCAGGAAATACACATACTGTAACGATAGGGCGTATTTGTTGTGGGCCGGCCGGAGCAGTTCAATTTGCATCTTTCTCTTCGGATGCTTGACAGTAAGTCGCATGGCGCGGAATGTTTGCCCCTCGCCTTCGACTTCATTCTCCAAGCCATACGTCTGCAAAGATGTACGACATGCGATGCGCAACGGTAAAACAGTTTGTGGAGGGGAAACTAAGGAAGGAAGCATACTCGTCTTTCTCCTGCAGGACTCAGCGTAAGTTCAGCGAGCGATTTCTGCGTACCACCGACTTCTCCATTCGCCAAGTGCAGTTCAAACGGCTCCGGGATCTCAGTTATCTGAACAGAAATTCTCAAACCGATATCCAAGTATAAGTTCCAGACACAACAAAAACAGTTGTTCTCTCAAACTACCTGCAGACTTTTTGCGCTAAATTTTTTATCATCATGAGTTCTCTCATCCTGAGTTTCTTTTTTTTTTTACAGTTGCTTAGTTTCTCTTCGATAGCCACTTGCACTTCAAGCTTGCAGAGGCTTGTGTCATCCAAAGTCAAACAAACCGTACTACCGAATTCTGGCTCTTTTTGTGCTTTGAAAGATAAAGATCTTTTCTTTTTTTGGAACTATCTGGGTGAACAACACTTGCACGCCGCAATAATGAAGTATTCGGGTTGAAAAAAACTTACTTAGCTACAGAACCTGACGGGTAATCCTGCATAACAAAAGTTGAAAAGTAATCGGGCAAAAGAATGATAACTGTTGCAGACTGTGTCATATTAGGCCCTGTTCAGCCTTAACATAATTATTTCCTTCAATGAACTTTAAGTAGAATACCATAATTTTGAAAAGTTTGTCATTCTGTGCAGTTTTGATATGAGCTTTTATGTTGCCACCACCTCTATTTTCTGACTGAAGCTCGAATTCGTTCGGCCCTTTCCTCAGCACTCGTACCTAAAACGATACAGCAGAAGTTCACTTCTGTTGAGACGATTGGTAGTGGCAGCCTGCAATTCAAGACCAACTTGACCATGCGAATAGAAAGTTCGTGGATTCGAAGGCAGCCAGCCCTATGTTCTTCATCTAAACGCAGTATGTCTGTGTGAGATGAACAAAATCAGATGAAGCTTCTGTGGTGTTGCCTCGGGACTATATCATAAAAAAGTGTAATGCTTACCATGATGATTAATCCTGATGGATTTCGAAATTTGTTTAAAATAACTATTTGTTTTCTAGATGTATAGTATTACTCCATCGAGCAACGCAACACGTGTAGGCGAAAGTGACTCAGCATGCGTCTGACTTACAACTTAGCTCGTGCAATATTCGCATTACAAGCTATTGCTCACACTTACATAAGAACATGCCAACTGATACTCAGCCCAAACGTGTTATTGTGCAGTCGAACCAAAACGTGTGCAGAGGCTACAAGAGTAAAAACAAAGGTAGTAATCCATTTGCAAAGGCCATGATGATCATGACAGGGATTGAGGAGAAACCCTACCTCGCCGCTTCCGGTACATTTTTAATGTACTGTAAGCCATTTTGCATTCTAGGGAGCCGTATATTTTAAAAGTGGGGGATAAATATTACAAAAAGGGAACATAGATCCCACAGACATCTATCTCCCGCCTTTGCTCTTCATAAGTAGGATTATATTCTTTGTTAAACATCTCACAGCGTTGTTTTCGACACCGTAGGATCTTGCACGCAAGGGTCATAAATCACTTCGTCGTTAAAAGCTGCGAACGGCTGGCTTCGGAAAGGCAGTATAAATGACAAAAGGTTGATGTGTATTCTTCGTTGCGACTAGTACAGTGGCTGCGTATCAGACTCTTCAACGCAGCGCGTCTCAACAGCAATCTTCATTCATCGTCAACAAGTGCTTTCATATTAAGGTTCAGGAGACCATGAAG